GACTTCCTAACCACAACATCCCACATGACTCTCTCATTTGGTGTTCTGTTATCTTGCTGTAACTGTGATCGTGCTGAGCACACCCTTCCTCTTGCATTTGGTGACTGACTTCTCTGCATCCTCTAATGCAGGTACTGATCTTATCAGGCTTCCACTCTTTCATTATAATCCTTTCTTAGTAGATTCAAATAGACCACTGGCTTTTGCTGTCCAGGTAGGTAATTTTCCAAGCTGTACTTTTAACATTAACTCCAGCATGTTTTCAGGTATATTTTTCTCGTTGTCTAATGGCCATGGGTTTCAAAATTCATGAATCCAAGCTGAAATCATTCCACTCCCACAAAATAATCACATTCCTTTGTATATTAGCTGGAATACTTCAGTAACAAAGAAGTTCTCTTTATCAATTGTCGCTCCCCCTCTTCGCGGAGGAACGACACAGGACCCTGCGTTGTTCTTTTGCCTGCTCGGCCCTCCCCGGGTTTGCTGCTGGTTCTTCCCGGGTTGGCTACCGTCCCTTCCACCTCCGTGGAAGGGCGGTTCCCCCTGCCACTTTCCCCACTTCCGCGGGGGAGCGGCACACCGCCGGCCGGCTCTCTCGGGGGCTGCACAGGTGTTCCTTCAGATAGATGTTCCTCTTAGATGTTCCTGGTGCATGTTGTCTCTCTCCTCCTTTATAGTCCTCCTCCACCAATCCCAACTCTGCTACCCACACGCAGAGTACGCTGCTCTCCTCCAATCAGGAGCAGCTCCTGCAGCTTGTCAAGTTAGTGAGAGGCAGCTGTGTAGAAGCTGTTTTTACTCCTCTCCCAGCGCCATATTGTGGGAGAGCAGATGCATAGAATAAGTCTTAATTCCAGTAACAGTCTAGTCCGAGTTGCTCCCCACAATCAATTATTTTTTATTTGTAGACAAAGGTCATATAGGAATAATAGGGCAACTTGACTATTTGACTTTATTTATTTCTTTACAAAATAATAAACTTATCTTCTAGCATCCTTCCAAATTGAATAAAATCTTCGTGTGTATATTTATATACCTATGAACTCACGGAGTTAATCTTATTTGCTATGGTTGAATCCATTGCAATCATCCTCTCTGGGATAACTATCTCATATTTGACCACTAACTACCTCCTCAAGTTAGCTATTGAGTATTTTTTTTAACTTTTATTTAATAAATATAAATTTCCAAAGTACAGCTTTTGGATTACAGTGGCTTCCCCCCCCCAAAACCTCTCTCCCACCCGCAACCACCCCATCTCCTGCTCCCTCTCTCATCCCATTCACATCAAGATTCATTTTCAATTATATTTATATACAGAAGATCAATTTAGTATATACTAAGTAAAGATTTCAATAGTTTGCACCCACACAGACACACAAAGCATAAAATACTGTTTGAGTTCTAGTAATACCATTAATTCACATAGTACAACACATTAAGGACAGAGATCCTAATGGGGAGTAAGTGCACAGTGACTCCTATTGTTGATTTGACAATTGACACTCTTGTTTATGGCGTCACTAATCTCCCTAGGCTCTTGTCATGAGTTTCCAAGGCTATGGAAGCCTTTTGAGTTCGCCAACTCCGATCTTATTTAGACAAGGCTATAGTCAAAGTGGAAGTTCCCTCCTCCCTTCAGAGAAAGGCACCTCCTACCTTGATGGCCTGTTCTTTCCGCTGGGATCTCGCTCACAGAGATCTTTCATTTAGGAATACAATCTTGTTACCTTCAACAGCTTCCTTCTCTCTGGTATACTGTAGGCTTACCATACACATTTCCTGACTCGTATTTGGAACCATGAAAATTTAAGGACTAGAAAATACTATTTCAAAACTAGAGTTATATGTCAAATATGCTTATTGGTCACTGTAGCTAGGCCTTTTCAGTGGGCAAAACCAGAATCCCACTTTCACATATGCTCCCTATTTGACATTCTTCTTTTTGTTTAAATAGCTGTGTTATCTATATTTTTTAGTTAAAAGGGTAAATTTTAATCTTTGCATATGATAAAATTGGCTGTCCGAAACATTTTTAATATATTGATTTTTAAAATTTTTAATCTTATTTGAACAAATACCTTAGTAATATAAAATGAAAATAAATTTCTAGAGACATGATTCATGTACTTGGGTGTAATGGTAATGTCAAAGTGCCATTAACAGTGCAAAAGGAATACTTTGAGTCAGTTCTTATTTCATTGTGGTTTGGTAAATTCCTCAAGAAGGGTACACAAGAACATTAATCCATGTGCTCCTGCATGTGCACTTAAACTGAACAAAAGCCTCTGTATTTGAAGACCGATTTGACTAAATATAAGATTGTTGGCTCACATTTTCTTTCTGTCTCTCTCTTAAATATTTAACTAAATTCTTCTTGGCCTTAAGTATTGCTGTTAAAAAGTTTGATGGTAATCTAATTTTCTTTCTATGAGTCTTTTTGCTGAGATGTTCAAAGGATTTTTTTAAAGGATGGTGTTGGCCTTTCTGGGTCAATTTCACAGTTTTCACTGCAATTTCAAATTGTCTTTTGTTTCAGAAAAGTTTTTGAACTATATTCTTCAGGGACTTTTATTATATAATAGAAATTACAAAATTCATTGTGCCATGGAAATTTATAGTGGCTCCTTGAAATCAATGGATCCTTTACCAGAATATTTTTAGATGAATAAAATAGCATATATAGATTTTCAAAAGAAATAAAAATATTTCAAAGGAAACTAATTATATAGTTTTCAAAAATAATTTTAAATTGTGATGTAGTGTTATACTTATTTCCTTATTAACATATTAAGTTATTGGATGTATATTTTAAATAACAAGATAAATATGGTTAACAACCATAGTTTGAAAAAGTGATCAACATAAATTATATTCAGTTTTTAAACTATAATCTCATATTGTAACATCTGTGGTCATTTTTGGTGACAAAGTCACAGGAATTGTTAATACTACAGTGGTTTGATGCATACATTTCAAAATTTCATAGTAAATAAAGATATTTTTCTCAGCTAAGTTCATTGGACAAACATAAATTATATTCACAACCCTGAAGTCCATCAACCCTTTTAATTTATTGCTGGATTTCAAAAACTTATGTAAGTTGCATTTTTAAATCTTCTCTAATCATTTCATCTCTGAGTTTTTCTATTCATGATTTATTGGCACAGCTTCTATCATTGGCTTGGTTTCTTTTAGCTCATTTTGAAATACTGGGTTTCAGTTTTCATCTGTTTCATGGGCATGCATTTCCATGTGCCTTCTAGGTCATGGGGAATTCATTCTGTTCCTCAGTCCTTTATTAGACTGCATACTTTTTCTTTTGCTCATATGTAAACAGATGAGTTATTGTGTACTTTTAGGAGGGAGGAGAGGCCAAAATAACTTTTCTACAATTATGACTCTAGAACTCCCTATTCTGTATTTTTTCCTCAAGGTAATTAAAAATTATGTAGCCTTGTACTCTGAACTACTCAAAAGACGTCTTCCTCTTCTATTCCTTTAACCTCATTTTCATCTAGATTTTTTTTTGTCTCTCTCAGTTCTCAATTTGGAATCTATTCTCAACAGTTTCTCCTGGGAAGGAATACTGGCTTATTACTATGAGTAGTTTATAAAGCCCAAATTGCCCTAACACCATTAGATTTTATCAAATACCATCCCCATGTTCTCACTCATGATTTAAAACTCGCATGCAGTTCTGTTCAATTTCCAGTGAGTACAGGGATACAGGCATGCTGTGGAACTCCAAACCTCGAGATACACATTATCATCAATAAATATTCTATATTGGTTTCTGAATTTTTTTATCTTAGCTGCGCTATTGGTTTATGCAGGGCAGTGGTTCTCAAATGGTGATGATTTTGATTCCTAGAGATATCAGCCTATATCTACAGTGTTGATTTTTACAACTGGAAGGGGGTACAGTACTAATATCTAGTGAGCAAAGACAAGGTATTGTGTAAAACATGCACAGAGTTATATCTCATAACTAAGAATTTTACAGTCCACATTATTAGTAATGTTCATGCTGAAAAACCCTGGATAAGGTAATTTGGGGAGATTCAAAAACTAAGCCCATAACTAATATCTTCCCAGGTGCCTCCTTCTGCCAAAACATCTGTTCACCACCATTTCCTATCATCAATTCCCTTATTTAGGCCCATATTTTTCTTTGACCTGAACTATTGTGTTAGCTTCCTGGTTGATCTTCCCAATAAACATACCTCTGATCTAAATCATCCCACTCATGATGGCAGAGAAATTATCATACCAAACATTTGCTCAAAGAGATTCAGTGACTCACCAATACCTTGGAAATAAAGTTCATCTCCATTATCTGGAAATTCAAAGTTTTCTATGCTTTGTTCCCAATGTATCTTTTTGATTTTTTTTTCTACCTCTATTCCCTCACCCATAACCTATAATGCAATCAAGTAGGAATCTCCACATTTGACAAGGATGTCTCTTTTTTTCTCACTTCCTTCTAGGACTATGCTCTCAGTTTTTAGTGCCTTATTCCCAAAGCTCCTTTGATTGAAGTCTTCCTCCTCTTCTGTGTTCCTCTTCAGCTTGTCCTGCATATACTCCAACAAGAAATTCTCTTTTGATTATCTTAGTATTTTGGATACACTTGTCTATAGCTTTAATTTTTATGTATACATACATAATACAAGATGTATTTTAGTATATATCTTATTACATTGTAATTTCACTCTGAGAAAACACTGTATATTTTTTCTCTTGGCATGATATTCCCCATAAACCCTAGCAAAGGTTTATACTTAATAGATATTCAATAATATTTGTCAAATGAATGAATGAATAGAACAAGACATAAAGTACAGGTATCTTTCTGGTCAATGATAAAGACTAAATGGCCTTAAAATAAAATTATGGTAGTGGGTTCTTATATTAGCCATACTTCTCCAGATAATCAGAACCAACAGGATACACAGAGATATTTGGAAAGAGATTAATTATGAAGGTTGACTTACATGACTGTGGAAGCCAAGAAATTCTGTAATCTGCTGTTAGCAAGTTGGAGGCTCCAGTGGTATTGATGATATAGTTCCAAACAAAACCTGAAGATGTGAGAGCCAATGATGTTAAGTCCCAGGATGAGTCTGAAAGCTTGGGAAGCAGAAGGGCTGATGATATAAATCCTGGTCTGAATCTGAAAGTCAGAGAACCAGGAACACTGATGTCCAAGGGCATAAGATAGATGTCTTAGTTCAATTTAAAAAGTCAAATTCACCCTTCACATTTTTGTTCTATTTACTCACTCAATAGATTAGATGATGCCTACATGTTAAGTAATACAATGTCATTTACACAGTCTACTGATTGAAATGCTAATCTCTTCTACAAAAATCCCCAAAGACATACTCAGAAATATTGTTTTACCAGATATCAGATATCTGGGCTTCCTGTAGCCTAGTAAAGCTGACACATATCACACCTCTTGAGACCATCTTGTGTAAATTATAACCATCATCACTTCCTCCTCCTAATCCTAGTTTCCTGGGAGGAATACACTTCCCCATACTTCTGAAGCTGTCTTCTTTTGAACACATGGTAATCAGAGGGTAATCCCTAGCCTCTTGAGTTGGGTTTGGCCAATAAAACACTTTTCTTTGGTCACTTGGATATTTGCTGACATAAGAGACTGGAAACAAGTTGGCATGCTTCCACAGGAAAAACATGTCTTGTGTAAGGACAATGAAACATGTGAAAAGTCTTTGCTCTAATATACAGCTTACAGCCAGATCAGTTGAATCCCAGAAGGGCCACAGACATATGAAGAATGAAGGTATACTGTCGGTCAGGAGCATCATTTTGGTGCTAGTTAGCTAGTACCAAAACCTTCACTACCTGCTAACTATCTACTGTAATCACTGCCCATTTTGACCTCTCTGAACCTAGTCTCCACCATCTCCCATCTCTCATTTTGAACACTGCCAAAATCTCTCCTTAAATCCCCAAAATCTCTTTCAACCTCCAAATTCTTTCCTTAAATTCTTCCAATTTTGTATTCATCTAAATTTTTTTATTAAATGTAATATTGGTACAGCTTTATGGGGGCACAGTGCAATATTTCAGCAGATATATGTAACATAAATGATCACATGAGGCAATCAACATCACCACATCCCACCCTTCCTTAACATTTAGAGCCTACCAGCTCCTTTCTTTCAGTTCTTTATAGAGCATATAGTATATTATTATGATCCATAGTTACCCAACTGTGCTATGGAACACCAGAACTCACTACTGCTGACTTTGCTTTGGAACCTGTTATCCAACAGCCCTCTAGCCTCTGAGTCTCCTGTAATCAATATTTTAAGTTCAGAACAATATGACTTGAGAAATGATCTAAGCTACATTTCTTTTCAAGTTCAAAAATCAATTAACTCTAAAAGTCATTAACAAGTCACCAAATTTTGTGTTCATTACCTAGACCAGAGCATGGGTAACTTATTGGAAGATTTCTTCTGTAAGGGCAGGTTGTATACTGCACAATTCTATGAGTCCCAGACCTTAGTAAATAAGAGTAGATATTCTCCTAGTCATGACTGTCCCCTAATTGATAAGAAATATTACTTTAGAAAAGTATCTTTAATCATACTTATTTGGGAAACAAGGATAGGACAAATGGTTAGTAACTTTTTGTTGCATTATACTTGACTTTTGCTTGTTAGATTGATTTCACTGCAGAACTTCTCAGAGACTTCAGTTTAAATGTTCGTTCTTTTTCAAGCAGGAAGCATGGGAGCAATAATTTTTAAACATGTGGATCCTGGAATCCTATCTCTCACTAACACAGACAATTATCTCAGGGAGCATGGATATTCTAGTACAGAGTTTAAAAGATGGTAATCGAAGTTAGAAAGTCAAGACCCTCTATAATATGTCCCAAATGTACATTCTCATCATACTTTTATGATGTTTTCTATTACAAGATAACATAACTTCATAATGAAAAATTTGAAAATATAGAAAATAAAGTATAACATATACATAATGACACATTTACATATACACACACATCATCATCATCATCATTCAACTATAACCAAGTACAGATGTTCTTTGACTTATGATGAGACTACAGCCCAATAGGTCCATTGTTATTTGAAAATATGTAAAGTTGAAAATGTATTTAATACCTCTTATAGAACCAACTGGGACATCGATAGTTTAGCAGCACAGTACACTGCACAATTCACACTTCTGATCATATACTTGACCAGGAGTTGTGATTCCCACCCACCCAGCTTCATGAAAGACTATCATACCATGCATTGCAAGACCAAAAAAAGACAAAAGATTCCAAATTTGAAGTTAGGATTCTAATGAATGAGTATTACTTTCATATCATCATGAAGTAGAAAAATCTTAAGTCAAACCATTGTAAGTTGAACTATTCTAAGTTGAATCACTATAAGTTGAACCATTGTAAGTTGGTAACTATCTGTATTTAATTTAATTTCCTTGCAATCTTTACATTATAAGTATTTTATCTGCTTGTGATAATATTGAACATTAAATTATAAATACATGTTTTAATATTAATAATATATATTATAGATAAATACATATTTCATTTTCATTTTACAATGACATTTCAAGCAAATAAAATTGTACCTGCAGTCAATTTTGCAACATATTAACATATTCATATCTTCAGATGTTTATGTTTTCCCAAGGAAAAAAAATGCTGTTGAACTTCAGGCATCTTTTGTGTTTCCCTTTTCTCATTTCAAGTCACATCTTGCCTCCCTCAGGATAACTACCATCCTGAATTTATTATTTCCTTGAATACTTTTATAGTTTTAACACATGTTTGTAGCCATAAACAAAATAGGGATTGGTTTTTATGTTTTTAAACTTCTATATTGGGTAAGCTACAAATATTACTCTATAACTTGCATTTTCCCTCAAAACACTATGATCTTAGAGTTTTTTCACTTTTTAAAAGAAAGTCTGTATTCTATTTTATTTACTTGAAGAGCAAAGAGAATTCCCATTCCATCCCTTGGTTGACTCTCCAAGTGTCTGCAAGGGCCAGAGCTGGTACAGGATCAGCACCAGGAACCAGGACTCAATTCAGGTCTCTCACATAAGTGGCAGAAACTCAATTTGTTTTTCCTTTTTTTAACGTTATCATTTTTTTTTACCGTTTCATTTCTTTTTTTTCTTTCAAACTTTTATTTAATGAATATAAATTTCCAAAGTAAAGCTTATGGATTACAATGGCTTCCCCCCCATAACGTCCCTCCCACCCGCAACCCTCCCCTTTCCCACTCCCTCTCCCCTTCCATTCACATCAAGAGTCATTTTCGTTTCTCTTTATATACAGAAGATCAGTTTAGCATACATTAAGTAAAGATTTCAACAGTTTGCTCCCACACAGAAACATAAAGTGAAAAATAATAGATGATTTTTTAAATGATGATGAAATCAGATCAGACCTATTGTCATGTTTAATCCCAGTGAGAGTCAAGTTGGGAATTGATAATTTCTTTTTTTTTTTTAAAGAAGATCAGTTTAGTATATATTAAGTAAACATTTCAACAGTTTGCACCCCCACAGAAACACAAAGTGAAATATACTGTTTGAGTACTCGTTATAGCATTAAGTCTCAATGTACAGCACATTAAGGACAGAGATCCTACATGAGGAGTAAGTGCACAGTGACTCCTGTTGTTGACTTTACAAATTGACACTCCTGTTTATGGCATCAAGTTTCCAAGGCTATGGAAGCCCCTTGAGTTCTCCGACTCTTATCTTGTTTAGACAAGGTCATAGTCAAAGTGGAGGTTCTCTCCTCCCTTCAGAGAAAGGTACCCCCTTCTTTGAAGACCTGTTCTTTCCACTGGGATCTCACTCACAGAGATCTTTCATTTAGGTGTTTTTGTTTTTGTTTTTGTTTTTGTTTTTGTTTTTTTTGTTTTGCCAGAGTGTCTTGGCTTTCCATGCCTGAAATACTCTCATGGGCTTTTCAGCCAGATCAGAATGCCTTAAGGGCTGATTCTGAGGCCAGAGTGCTGTTTAGCACATCCGCTATTCTATGAGTCTGCTGAGTATCTCACTTCCCATGTTGGATCACTCTCCCCTTTATTTATTCTATCAGTTAGTATTAGCAGGTACTAGACTTGTTTATGTGCTCCCTTTGACTCTTAGTCCTTTCATTATGATCAGTTGTGAACTGAAATTGATCACTTGGACTAGTGAGATGGCATTGGTACATGCCACCTTGATGGGATTAAATTGGAGTCCCCTGGTATGGGCAGAAACTCAATTACTTGAGCCATCACTACTGCCTCCCAGAGTCGCATTGACAGTAAACTGGAGTCAGCACTCATAACCAGAATTGAACCCAGGCACTCTGGGCTTAATGCACACTTCCATTTTCTACCTTATTATATATAGGTCACATTCGGCTATCAAGACTACAGTATAGATTATACAACAAATATTTTACCCATTTTCTTCCTGTTGATGGATATTGCATCTTATTTTTGTCATTATAAACAATACTGAAATTACATCAAATTATAATTGCTGGATCACAAATAGATATGTAAACTGTCAACTCTCCTAGATATTGCCATATTCATTTCAAAAGTAGATTTGCTAGTTTACATTCTCAGAAGTGGACATGAGAGCTCATGTAATTCTACACCTGCACCATTACAGGTACAGTAAATTTTTTATTATTGCCCACTCTGGTGGGTATGTAAAGACGTATTATGGTGAGTTGATTTTGTATTTCCTTGATTACCTGGGAAGCAGAGTATTTTTTCATGTTTATTGCCCAGTCAGCTTTCTGCTCACATGACTTTAAAGGATACTATTTGTATCCTCTAAATATTCTGGAATTTATAATTCAATTTCTTCCTAATTACAAAAGTAATGCATGCTCAGTTTGAAATTTATAGCAAATTATAAATAAAAATGAAATCATTTCAAATATAACCATCTGCTAGTTATGATTTTTAATCTTTAGGTTTATTTCCTATTGTGTATTAGTATTCATAACTGTTTTATATAATCAAGGGAAGAAGAAATTGTGAAGAGAGCTTCGATGAGAATATTTACCACTGGGTTGCTTGTTATTCTTTTCAGATTAAATTTCATTGACAAGAATAATTCAACACAGGAATATGAGCA